TGGTGTCAGTCTTTTGGGGTTCATCTTGTTTAGGACACTGTGTGCTTCTTGGACTTGTGTGACTTTTTTCTTCCCGAAGTCAGGGAAGTTTTCTGTCATTATTTCTTCAAACAGGTTTTCTATTCCTTGCTCCACTTCTCCCTTTCTGGTTCCACTATTATGCAGATTCTGTTTCCTTTTGTGTTGTCCTAGAGCTCTCTTAGACTCTCCTCCTGCTTTTTAATTCTTTTTTCCAGTTGCTGCTATACTTCAGTGTTGTTTTTTTAATCTTGTCTTCTAACTCATTGATTCAGTCCTTAGCTTCTTCTAGTCTACTGTTGAAACCTTCCATCGTGTTCTTTATTGCAGCTATGTCATTCTTCATTTCCTTTTGATTCTTACACATGGTGACCCTTACCCAGACATTTGAGCATGCTTATAACCATTACTCTGAATTCTTTCTCTGACAAATTGCTTGCCTCTATTTCATTTATTTCCTTTTCTGGTGATTCTTCCTTTTCTTTCATTTGGGGATAGTTTCTTTGTCTCCCCATTTTTGCTGTTCCTTTGTAATTGTTCTGCGTATTAGGTTACACTGCTATGCCACCCAGATTTTTTGAATTGGTCTCATGTAGTAGACCAAGCATGCCAAACTCAAAGGCTAACATGGGCCAAATAAATAAGGTGTAAGTTTATGTGGGCCGCAAAAAAACAAAAGCTTCAATTTTCATAGAAACTTAGGTTTATTTCAATAGAGACATGCTGAATACAAAGGACTGAAATAAATGAGTAATCGTTAACATAAAATAATAGAACATTTTAATAAAAATCAATATTTTTCTTGAACATTAACTTACCAGACACTGAATAACTGAACAAATTAATAAGCATAATGCAAATAAACCTATTTTTCTTGTTCTCCTAAAGCAAAATATTTCCTGTTGCACACACCAAACAAGTCAGTCCAAGACTAATGACGTGGCAATAGGCTGCTAAATTATTCCCTGCTAGTATTAATGGAGAGAAATGAGCACCTGTGCATAAGGCGCTTAAAGAAAATGAATGCAACACAATTATAGTAACCAGTCACTAGCGAATGTTGTAGTTCGTTATTAATAATATACATTAATAAAAGACAAACATGCAAATTGACCATACCTTTGTTATGCCTTAAGCCACGCCCACCACCCAATCAGAGTGACTATATGCAAATTAACCCAGCCAAGATGGCGGCCGGCAGCCATGGAGCTGGAGCAAGCAGGAGGCTTGGTTGCCCCAGCAACAGAGGAAGCCAAGCGTCCCA